TAAATTTGGGCATTAAAAAAAGCAGAACACTACATAAGGAATAAGTTTCTATAAAGCTTGGCATTGAAGAGAAGCTGAAAGGGGTTAACTGGTTGTTCCAGTTCAGATTTTGTTGATGGATCTGTTGATATCAAATTCTACTATGTAGGCAAAATCTTAAAATCAGAGCCCTTCTAGGGAACAGTCACCATGGTGAAGATAGGTATTTAAGGGCTGGCAATACCAAACCGAAGTAATGTTTTTTTTTCCTTTTTCCTATTTGTGAATTCAAGATAATTAAATCCAAAACGGGCCAGACATGCTGGCTAAATCAAATCAAGGGTTTTGCAGGTTAAGGGAGTAGTTGATTCAATTGGGTAGTTTCTTAACACCAAACAAATGGATACCTGACCAACAAGGCAATATATATCACTTGGCCAGAGACTAATTGCTGTAATGACAGCAGAAATGGTGGGAAACGTTGGAATTATTTGGACAGTCGTGGCTAGAGTGATTCAGGGGCTTGAAGACATAAGATCACTGGAATACACACTCACTCACTCACTCACTCACTCACTCACTCCAGGGCTGCTGCTGCTGCTTCTGGGATCATACTTTGAGAACCACTGGCCTTGATTTTGAACTTTTACTGAACAAACATATATTCCTATTTCACACAACCCATTACTTATGCAAATTTATTTTTGCTAAACATAGGAAAAGCGCCTCAAATATTTGGCTGTAACCATTTACTGCCATATTCCTATATAAATCTGTGTCAGAATATTCTAAAACTTTATTACATGTCATTGTTTAAATTGTCACTTTTGCTGCCCTTTGACTAAGGCAGCTCTTTGTACCTCTTTCCCACTCTCTTGTCCTTTTAAATCCCTAATACCTTGGTGACTTATAGCTAAAATACAAGCAAAGGCTTTGGAGGGACTGGGTGCTCTGGTATAGATCTGGTCTCTCTCACACCAAGCTGAAGTGATAGCACAAAACATAAATAAGGGCAGGGGAAGCAGAGGCTTGTGTTCAGTAAAGTTGTACCTCCAGTAAGTTTAATAATTACCATCAACACCGGGAGACCGACATGGATCAGACATTCATCAGACAGTTTCACCTTGCACGAACAGGACACATTTTCACAAACTCTAAGTCCTTATGTTCTTCTACTAAAATGACTAGTATTAATTCCATTTGTGTAAAAATGTTAATGTACAATATGAATGATCTTGGCCTTCTCAGTGGCTTTCAGTAGCCATTTCTGAGAGTCTCTTGGTAGATGTGGTCCCTTAGTCCTATGTCCAATAGAACAGCACGGGGTATCAGGACTATTTAATCAAACACCAACAGTTTAATACAATAATTCCAGGAGATTAAGGTATTTTCTATATTCTGGAGTTAGCTTTCAGGGAATTTGGCCTTTTGTGGTGAAAAATACACTTCGTGGCTAATCGAGGCCTAGAATTCTACATGCAGAATTCCAATTCCTTTGGCTTAGGGCTTTTCCCCTATTATAATGCAAGCGACCCTCAAAAAAGGTAGCATTAAGCCTTACAATGTCAAAGCAAAGGACTTTATCCCTTTCCTGAGAGCATGGTTTTCTTAATGAGGAGAACAAACTAGGAGGCACTCAGGAGAGTTGGGGCAGGGAAGCAAGGTCTGGGGAAAATAGAGCAGAAAGAGGAGACTGAGGATCCATCCCAACCGCAGACTTCCAGCTCATTCACTATTCTGCTGAAGGGCTATCTCTGTCTGCAGCCCTACTGAAAACGGGTGCTAACCTGCTACTCAGAGCAGGTTGCTTAGAAATCAACCATGTTTTCTGATAATATTGTCGATTCTTTGACGTGTAGGCATACAAAGGCTTATAGCAATGGAGAAAAGAGATGGCAATAAAACATTTGGTGCAACAACAGGGAGTTATTAGAGGAACCACACTTGTTCACAGGAAGAAGATAAACTGATATTTATAGAGTGCAAAGCGCAGGGCTGGGACGAGGGTAAGGCACTTGTGCAGCCCTGAGAATGGGCGCTTCATTCACCTCACTCTAGTCCTGGCCCTGGCAAATCAGATTAAAGTGAAAGCTTACTATTGTGTTACAGACTTGGTAAAGATGGAAGGCTGTGCTGGTGAGGAACAGAGCACTGGCCACAAACTCAATGTTTTAAGGAATAGTTTGTTTATGAGGAAGAGGGCAGGTGCACGGACACATCTGCTCAGACAGGTAGGTACCGTGGGATCACAATCTGATTCGTGTTGTCTAGAGACTTAAAATAGATGTCTGGTGAAATGCTTGTTGTAAGCCTTTGTAGAATCTCCTCTACTCTTTGCACATTCAGAGTGATGCCTTCAGACCAACTGGTCGATTTTAGGTCATTAGGCTAACATGAACTCTTTCGCTGCTTGTGGTCGTGCCTCTTTAAAGGGTAAGTTGTAGGTGAGGGATGCAGTTCACAGGAGTCGGGGCTGAGGGACAAGTTGGGGCCAGGTGGGAGGCTTAGGTGAGAGATGAGGCAGGCAAAGGAGAGGAGACACCAGCGAGGCTTCCTGCTGTACCAAGAATGGCTTGCTCTCTACTCTCAACATTTGAACCATGAATACGTAACGAATGCCCACTAAGAGCAAAGCACTCTTTGCTACCCATTGACCTCTCCTGGGGATGACTCCCTCTATTCATGACTACACTGAGGTTAGTCCAGCAGAGCCACCTGTGGCTATCGGTTGGAATCAGAGCCAACAAAAAGATAGAAACAACTTGAATTGGTAGCTCACCTCCTGGGGACAACTTCATTTTACTTGAACCCCTTCTGTATTCCACCTTCAAAAATTGGGATCACTATTATTTTCACACGTAATCGTGACAGTACTAGGTTCTCTGAAAGCCTGCATGGAGGGGCTGTCAGCCTCTCTTCTCTGGTCTTAACAGGTCGATACAGAGGGCAGCAAACATTGTGCTCTATGCCTCAGTGGGAGAGTTGGTGTAATGATCACAGGGACGAGAGTGGTTGAGGGTTAGGAGTAGGAAAGATGTTTGGTGTTCTAGTCATCAGTGACTAACAAATTTTACAGTTTGCCTGTTTGCTTGGGATTGTGTCCACCTGTTGCAAAATATTAAAGGAATATTTCTAGCCCTCAATGTTACCTCTGACCATAATATCTCTGCCCTAAATCCTCTTATGCTAATGGAAACACCACTGGCCATTTGAGGGCCACAGTAATGATGCAAATGTTATAAAAATTCCAGGTACACAGACTATTGAAGAGGAAAAGCAGACTCAAGGTGATGGCAAAACATAATGGTGTCTGGGCATACAGCTCTAGAATATTTTACAAAAACCACCAGGGGTAGCAAGGCAAGGGGAAAGGTGAAACCCACTAGAAGTAGCAAACAAGAAGCCTCCAGAAAAACCAGCAGAAGTAACACATCCTGTACTATGTGAGTCTTGTATTTGGCTTCAAAGCTCAGCTGTTCAAAGTGGTTCCCAAGGAGAAGGCTCTGGCACCCATTCACTTTTGTTAGGCTAAAGCACAAGCACCCCTTCATTTCCCTATGGAGGAAAAATGTTTCTGTCTTTTGGAATTCTGAGTCTGGGGCAGACAAGTGTGGCATTCAGATATAAATTCAGGCCAGGAATGAATCTATTTTATTTCAGGCAAAACCCCTGAAATTCGATCAGGACCTTCAAACTAAATAATTTGAATGCTTTTGAAAGCAACTGGGGTCTCGCTGTTTACAATATAAGTGGCCTGTGTCTAAATCAGGGGGGCATGCTGATTGCAAAGAAGTTGGTGGGCTTGGCCTGCTCTCAGAAGTCTAGAATTCAGACCTGTACCAGCCAAGTGCCTAGGCCTAAGACCTCTAAATGAGAGAGGCCCAAGTCTTCTCAGCTCTCAGTGTAGTTTTTCAGCTGCTCTGTCTGCAGGAGTGCGGGCAGTGGAGCTAAGGGCTTGCTTCTCATTGGTGATTTATGCGACCTATCAAAATAAAGATCTGCTTGTTTCTGGGGCAGTTTCTGATTCCTTCGGGAGGTTGGCCAATGAATCTGTTGGGTTGGGGGGGGTGGCGGCGAAGTAGGAAGGGGTCCAGGAAGCAGGCTTCAATTTCATTTGACTTTTCCCTTCTCAGAAACGTGGACCATTAACGTTTTGGTCTGTTATTGGTCAGCCAGTTTTTGTTCAATGCGTTGTCTAGTTTTTCCCCCCAACCTCCGCAAAATCAGACATGAAAATCAAATGAATCACTACTCTTGCTCTGCTTAGAAAATTGAACTGACAAGAATAGTTAGTGCCTATAAGCTTGTGCGTGTGGGGAAGGAAGGGGTCACAATGATTGCTCTGGGGCTCTGTCAGCATCCCATCTCCCCCAGTGCCTACACTCTCCCCCAGCATAGTTAATGGAAAGTTGGTCACACAGTGGAACCTAAATGGCAAAAAGTAGCCCTTTGTGTGTGTGTGTGTGTGTGTGTGTGTGTGTGTGTGTGTGTGTTATGGGCCATAGCCACTTGCAAGGGTGCCTTTTAGGTTTTGGATATATCCTTTTTAGTCCATACATTCTTGGCTTGGGAATAGGATAAGACTTCCTTTAAACAAAAACAAAAGCGACCACAAACCACAATCTAAACTGAATGGAGGTGGACAAGTTACACTTACTTTCTCTCCTTCTTGAGCCTTTGATGATGCTCTTCCTTCAGCTAATTACTTCCTGTAATGAAGGTTATATGCAAATGAAACAAGAGTTCTTAGAATGCAGCATGAGCTGGGCACCAATCCTAGCTATCATTGTTGACAGACACTTGAAGAATCTCAAGGCACACGTGCAAGTTACCTTGGACAGATCTGAGTGAACAAACGGCTGCCTCCTTTGTTGGCTGAACTTGGTTCATCCAAAGCAAGCCAGTCCTGACTTTTCATAGCTGGGGGGGGTGGGGTGGGGAGGGTCTACATGTATACTGAAACTCATCACCCTGATCTCCGCGCGCGCGCGTGCGTGTAGACAATCAAACTGAAAAAGGCATGAATTTCAAGACAGAGTCACATTCATAGTTTGCATGACAAAAGCCATCCAGTCAACCCCGTGCTGAAATAAGGGCACACCCACAAACCTCTCTGGTGGGGGGAGTTTAAGTGTGGATGGAGAGGCACCAGAGTCTTTTCTCTAGGCAGGGCCATCTAGGCCTTACCAGGAAAGTGAATAATCAGCAATGGCACCCTATGACCTCCAGTTTTGGCAGCCCCCAGTCCGCTCTCACACTGTACCCCTCAGTGACAGGAGTCAGGGATGGAGCAGCCTGGTCATTGATTGAAAAGGTGGCACATGTGCCCTGGCATCTGAGAATTTCTTCTCAGGGCACAACACTGGGGGAAGATAAGGAGAAAACTGGTAGTTGGGTAATGGCAAGATTGTAAGTATGAAAATGTAAAATGTCTGAAGATGATTAAAGTGCCTGATGATTTAGTTCTAGATAAAGTGGCCTCTCTCCTGCTGTCCAGAGTGTGAGTTAACATAAAAGAAATGTAGGCTCTTCTGTTATCTCCATGATTCCTTTTTAAAACCCTTTCTCTTCCGCTTCATCTACTCAAGTTTGGTAACTAAACCCTGTTTGCTGAACCTGGGACTTAGGTACTGGGGTCATCGGTGGTTTCATAGTCCTTTGAAAACTGTGCAATAATTCTCCGAGCCAGTGGGTTAGTGGTCTTCAGCAGTTCGGCTGCTGAAGGGCGGGACCTTGGAGTTGCCTTGCTTCCCTTCTTCTGTAGCAAGGCCTTGAAATCATCGTTTCTGCCAGCATCTAGGTTAGCACTGCCACTTGACCCTGCAGAAGCAGCTGACTCACTGATTGGAGAATCAGCTGTGTTCTTTATTGGTGAATGGGAGCTTGGTCTGCTGCTACCAGCAAAGACCTCACCAGGCTCTCTCCAACCAAGCAGCTTTCTCTTGGACCTAAATAAGAGAAAGTTTACTTTGAGTGAATTTACGCAGCAGACATTTCCTAAATGCTTTGTATAACTTCATGAATGCCAGTGACATGATCTGGGAGCTTCCATAGAGCAGCCTTGCGGGCAGTTGTACCTACCAGCTTTCTCTCTCACTGCTAAGTCCTCAGAGTCCCTTTTCTGGCCCTCTGTCTCTACACCCCTTTCAATGCCCACAGCTGGAGTCGCTTAGCCTGTGCCTGCAGGCTCAGTTCTGCTCAGGTTCTGGGACCAAGGAAGCATTTAAGGAGTCTAGGCCAGCAGCCCAGTGACTCTGAATCAGGATAGCCTGAGAGCTGATCCTGTTCTGAACTGGTGCTCCAGCTCTAATGACTGGGCTCTTTCTAGTTTTTGTGTTTTTTTTTTTTTTTTTCCCCTCATCGCCAAGCCCCTGCTTTGTGCCCCTGTCCAATAACCGGGGCCCGGTCTGGTCCCCCTTTGCCCAAGTTCCTGCTTTGATGCTTGGCTCGCTGCCCCATTTCACTTTTTGATAAGATGTTTTTGGTACAAAGAATTCTGTAAAGGGTTAAATGTCTCCGTCTGTAGACCGAGCTTCCAGAGAGCAGATGGAGCCACAATAGGCCGAGCGGTTGCTAGGAGACGAGGGGCCTCTCACTCGGCACCTGGTCCTCCCCTCCCTGCCCCTCCTCCACTTCACCCAAAGATGTCAGTGAATTGCATATGTGAGGCTGTGGGCTGCATTCACATATGTGGGTATCTGAACTTAGGCTCCAGTTGCAATTCTAATGGCTACTTAGAGGTAGCAGCTTTTCTTTTGATATAAGAAGGGTAGACAATTACAATAGGAATTAAGAAAATTGGTCTAGACCTGTGTATCACAGTAAACAAATCTTCAGTTGTGCGTGAAGCCACAAACACGTCATCGTCCTCTTCGGCAATCCATTCGGCTGTTTTATCACTAATTACACTTTTTTCTTCAGTGCTTGCTTCCGTAGAACTCCCTAGGCATAAGAACCAGAAGGAATTAAATACTTTGACCACTAACAGTTAGGACAAAGCACATACTCCTCTGGTATTTCATTTGATGTTCAAAGCAACTCTGGAAGGGCTGCAGGGCAGAGACTCTTAATGTCTCCATTTTGCAGAGGAACACGATGTTCAGAAGGTTAGTGTTTTAGCCAAGGTGCAGTGAGTGGCAAAGATCAGCATGGGTCCCTATGTTCTCACGCCTTTTCCACTGCACAACAGGTTGCCTGAGCATTCTCTTGTTTTGAATGCAGCATTTTTAAAAATCAAAAAGCGGAGAGATATCTAAAGCAATGACTCAACCAGTAGGTGGGAGCGGGACCTATCTGAATCTCGGAGGGAGCCTATGGAGTTTGATGATGCATCTTCTAAAAATTACTTGTGGCTGTGATTTGTTTGCTTGTTTTAGCCACTATGATTTAACTTATGTTGGAAGTCCAAATTGGCCTAAGGAAGGCCATAAGATTTTGATGTTTGGTGTTAAAGGTTAAAAAAGGATGAGAAATGTGGATGGATCTGGAGGACAATAAGTTAAGTGAAATAAGATAGTTACCAAAAGACCAATGCTGTATGATTCCACTTACATGAGGTCCCTGGAGGAGTCAAATTCGTAGGGACAGAAAGTGGAATAGTGGTTGCCAGGGTATGGGGGGAGGGGACAATGGTGAGTTCTTGTTCAATGGGTACAGACTTCAGTTTTGCAAGATGAAGAGAGCTCTGGAGGTGGATGGTGGGTGGTCATGATTATACTACCCTGTGAATGTACCACTGAACTGTGCACTTAAAAATGGTTAGGATGATAAATTTTATGTTATGTGTAATTTTGCCACAATTAAAACAAAACAAACAAACAAAAGAAGAGACTTGCAAAAAAGGATGAGGAACATCATGTAGTTTAGTCGTATTGTTCCAGGAAGAGCTAGCCTCAAAGCATCCAAGAAGTGAGCTCCCTTTCCTCCAGAAAGCGCTAAGAAAGGCTGCTGCTAGAAACATGTTCCCTTGTTTCAGAAGCTTACAAGCCTTCCATAGCACTTGAACTCAGCCTGGGAGGGTACTGAGTCCCATGCATAAGACTAAAATCCACGTGGCTAGCGAAGAGTCCTGTACCGGGAGGTGGAGAGAGAGTTCCTAGGGCAGGGGATGTGTGCCTGAGCAGGTAGATCGGCTTCTAAGATCCTAGGGTGCTAAGAACTAGTTTGAGTTCAGTATCTCAGTACTGGGGGTTCCAGGGGAGATTGACCCAAACTGGATCTTGAGATCCACCCCTGGGTCACTCCTAATCCCAAGGGCAGTGAGACCTGCTCAGAATAACCCAAACCCTCAAGAGATACCTCCAACTGACCTGGTTATCCTCAGGACTCAGGACCATTACTTGTGGTCATTTGCTTCTGTCTCTGGCACGCCACCCTCACCCTCATCTTTCCTGGGATTCAAAGGAAAAGCCAGCAGAGAGTTTTACTAACCTAGAGGACTTGCCTTCCTTTCACCTTCAGCCTCCGGTGTTGAAGTTGTCCTTGTACCAGGTGACTGCAGGTGGTCACTGGTGGGGGGACACCTGGCTTCTTCCTGCAGGGTGATGATGGGGCTGAGTGACAGCCTTGGTTCTGTCCCGTACACCTCCATTTGAGCTGTGGGTGATGTGAGAGGCAGGTACAGCACGCTGGGCTTTTTTGGAACAGGAGGTGGGATCTTGCCTTTCTTTTTCTCTGCTTCTTCCTGGCTCTGGAGGCTAATTCTTTCAGGCAGGGCTTTCACCTTGGGGCCTCCATCCTCCATACTTCCCTGGGGAGGTTGCTGTGTTCCTGAGAAGAAAGCACCAGAGGAACTAGCAAAAGGTGTGAAAACAAGAGATGAGGGTGCTGTTGACTCCCCTGGGCTTCTGCCCTCAGGGCTGGAGGACTTTGGTTTCCGCACCACCGTGTAGATGTCTGGAGGGAGTGGCCTCATGTGTTGAATGGAGCTCTTGGGGGTCATAGCCAAGGTAGGGGAAGTTAGCGGGTACTCCTCAGGGACTGATGGTGGCTTGTGGACCAAGCTTGAAGGCCTTCGGGCCACGGGGGGCTTCTCAGCTATGGGAGGTTTCATCTTTCTCTCTGGCAAGGTGAAGACTTCTGCTCCTGCTTCCTCAGCATAGTCAGGGCTCTCTATGTCATCTTCGGGCTCGGACTTGCTGACTGACCTCAGGCGAACAGAACGTAGATCAGACTGAGTAACCATGGGCATAACTGGATGGTTGGGGCTCGTTTTCTGGGCCAGCTTGGCCCCAAAATTTGTATCTGAGTGATGCCGGCTCACCTTGGTTTTGCTTCTGATGGAGATACTCATCCCAGACAGATCCAGGTTGGTTGATGAGGTCAATGGTAGGTCAAACGAGAGCCGTGACTTGGACATTTTCTCCATTGGTGATGTCGGGGGTAGTGATGACTTCCTCTCAGGTACCACTGGACGCACCCGGACACTGCCACTTGGAGGGGGCAAGTGGCCTAGGGTCAAGGACATGGAGACAGTGGGTGTTGGTGTCTCTGACTGGCTGGAGTATCCACTGGAGGGTGACATCAGCCCAGTAGGCCTTCCTGGGGAGGGTACTTCCCTGGCCTCGACCTCGATGGACAGCTGGGAAGGTGTCGTGGCTCTGGACGTGGAAGGGGAGGCGAGAGACTCTGAGCTGCCCCGAACTTGCGTGCACTCAATGACTGTGGTGCCCGTGGCAGTGCTGGAGCTGGACAAGGATTGGTAGGTGTCACCAGACTTCCAGTCAGTAAGATACCAGTGGTGGGAGAATTGTGTGCCTTCTGGATCTTTGAAGGTTGGCACAGCTGGGTGACCCTGAGCATCCTGGTGGGATGAGTGACGTCCTTGGTGTTCCAAGGAGAGACAAAGGCTCCTGGGCCTCTGGTCCTTGGGTATGGCTGACCCACCTTCTTGCAAGAGGACTGGCTCATCTTTGACCAGTGAGACACTGCGCATTGGTGGGGAAGGCTTCTTTTTGGCCTTCCTGAGTGAGATACTCTTGGATCTCTGCCTTCTGTGCTGGGCCTCCTGTTGGGCACTAAGGGAGGCAATGTTGTCAGCACTGTTACTGCCCTGAGAACTTGTACTGGCATAAGGAAGGGCACTGGCTTCATTGGCCTTCTGTTCTTCATCATAGCCTACCTCTGCAGTGCCTGAGTCTGTGGGCACAGACAGTGACCTCTCCCGGAACCTGCTGGCCCCACCTGGGCCTGTCTCCAGCCTTGAGGTACCACTAGTGAGAAGGCCAATCTTGGAGGGTCGTTCCACTGCCTGCCTTTGTTGAGTAGGGTACTCAGAGTAGCCAGCTGACCCACTGCAGCCTGCTGGGTTATCACGAGTAACAAAGAGGGTAGCAGCCTCCTTAGGAACTAGAGGTGGCAGTGTGTGCAGAGAGACCCAAGCATTCCCAGAGGAAGGATTTTTTCCATTTTCCCTGACTTGAGTGCTCTGACTGGTGGCACTTGGAGTCATGTAGGTAAAACTATTTCCCTTCCAGGAAGCAGAGAACGTCGACTCGGTCGGTCCATTGCAAGAACTGGGGACGCTATACACCATTCCTATGCTCTCCATGCCAGGAGGGTGTGCACCACCACGTGCCTGGAGAGCTTCTTCTGGATCACTCGAAGGACTCCTCAGTACCGGTGAGGTGAGATTTGGGAAACGAGCTTCCTGACCAACTGCAACTCTTCCATGGACGCCCTCTGGGACTGAATGACTGAGCCTGATGTCTGAGGTGGCAGAGTGGGCCACGCTGCCTGCTGGGCTGTCGCTGTGACCTGGAGAAGGTAAACACAGAAAGTTAGCGGTGCAGCCAGGGATCCCGCGGCAGCTGTCTTGAGACAGGAGCACCAAGGGTTTTTTTTTTTTTTTTTTTTTTTTTTGCCAAGAAGCATTTGCCAACAGCTTGGTCGGGATGCCTTGGTTCTTCCTTTCCATAGATGAGGATGCTGGGGGAAGTTGGGTCCCTGCCCATCACCACACAGTGAGTCACAGGATGCCTGCCCTTGAATTGTCCGGGAGGCTGCCAAGCCAAAGACTTGTCGGCTTTGATTATTCCTTTTAGAGCTGAAGCGGCAGGTGGGACTACCTTGGGTTTTTCCCCAGCTTTCACCCCAGGTTTATGCACCATCACAGACTTCAGTGCTCACCTCTCCTGAGATGAGAGCAGAGGAGTTTGAACTGATAAAGGATAGCACTGTGTGACTTTCAGCCCCAGCAATGAATCTGGAGTATGCCACAGCTGAAAGGTTCAGGGTCTGGTGGCATTTTTGGCACCTGTCCCTTTTAAGCTTTGCAACATGAGAGACTTAGGATGACCTACACATGTGAGGAAACCATTTGGATGTTCAAAATCCCCAAAGACTTTTTCATATACAAAAATTATTACTGTTACATCATTGCTACTACTACTACTATAATAATTTATAACAGCAGCCACCATTTGCTGAACACCTACTATGTACCAGGCACATGGTAGACAAATATATGTAATAACTCTAATATGCATGACAAGTCCGCCAGGTTGGTATTATTATCCCCAACTTACAGATGAAGGCACTGAGGCTCAGAGGGGTTATGTAAGTTGGCCAAGGCCTCATGGTTAATAAGTGGAGAGGCCAGGACTTGCATCCATATCTCTCTGATATTCTAAATGGCTATATTCCATTTAGAATGGGAAACAATAGCATAATGAACCTATTAGCCTGAGAGACCTGTGCTCCATATTCTGTTGATGCCCTTGACAAAAGGCCCTTGGTTGTCCTTAATTACCACATTGGCTTCTTTTAGGTCATCCAACCGCCCTCCCTCCCCGCCCCCACCATCCCGCACTATGAATTATTCCTGGGTGGCAGGACTGGTGGAAATGAACAAGGGGAAGGGTCTGGGGCATCAGCTGTGGTGGGGTCACCTTGGTCTCGCTGTGAAAAGTTAGAGAATCCAATAATGGTCCGCCTCCGCCTCAGGGTGGATTTGGGGTTCACGGCTGTCTCTGTGTTAAACAACGAGTGTCGCAAACTTGCGTGTTTATCAAACTGCTGCCCTGTAGCCAAAATAAAGACACTTGGGTGCATCCTGGTTTCTGTTTACAGTACAACGGTCTGAGGTGGAGAGAATGGATGATGGTAGGAGCAATGAGCATGAATAGAGTCCAGGCAGGTGGCCCTTCATCCTCCTCCCTCCCAATCTGGCCCTGAATACCCACAGCCCCAGGGCGCACATGTTGGCTTTTGTAAGGTCATACCCAGGGTCACCGGTGAGTCTTAGGTGGCCGAGGGCCATGGTTTTCAACTGCGGCTACGTGGGAAAACCAACTGAGCAGCTTTTGAAACTCTAATACCTGAACCCCATCAAGAACACTTAAATCTCTGGCTGTAGGGCCCAAGTAGAAGCATTTTCTTGCATTCCCCAGGTGATTGATTGTTCAGAGGTACAGCCCGGGGTGAGAACCATTGGTGTAGAGAGACAGGTTGAGACTAGATGTTGCTTGATTGTAATCTTTTCTCAAAGAAAGCCTTTGTATGGGCCAGTAAGGACAGTGCCTCCAAGAGGCTGCCCCACTGCCCGCCAGCATCCAGGAAGCAGCCTGATAGCCTGTCCTCTAGTCACCTGATCACATTTTATCAACATTCATCCTTGGGTAGTGATTGAAATCTGTTTCTCTTAAAACACTGGGACAGTCTTTGCTCCAGGGGAATTTCTGGGGCAGGGGTGGGGTGAGGCATGCTGAACCCCCACCCCCCCCACTGCCTCTCTTCATCAGTAGGCTAGCCACACCTTCCCCTCTCAGCCCCATGGCTGCATGTGTCCCCACTTCCCACCCTGCCCTGAGCAAGTGGCTCTGCGGGAAAAATCAGGGTTGGCCTCACTGAAAGTAAGGTGGAAGCTTAAAAACAAAGTGCCCACCTTCACTCTGTGAGTGTCTCTTCTCAGCCCTCACTCCTCTTGGTATGTCTCCCTCGGCTCTGAGCTCTGTTTCCTGCCTCTGATTTCCTGAGAGGATGCCAGGGGTGCTGAATGGCCCCACATCCAGGGAATGTTGCCACATGTGGCCAGACCTGTCCTCACTGTCTTCATCAGCTTTTCCCAGCATACCACTGGCCAGTGCTGGCTCACAGGGTGCCTCTGGTCCCTTTAAGTCAGGGAGTCTTCATTTCATCTGGTCGCTGGCCTACCTCCTTCTGAAATGACTGACCCTCCTCCTCTTCCACTTACAGCTGGTGGAGTGTGGAGCATGAATTAATGATGGGCATAGAAGAAGGTGCCACATGTCCCCAAAGTCACAGCCAGCCAAGCCTCATTTGGCTCGGTCTCTTTCTATTACTCACCTTCTCAAACACTTGCCATACCGGTTGAAGAGGCCCACCTCACTAGAAGTCCGGATGCCTACTGAAAGCGCCACAAGGCCCTTGCTCTGTGTCCCGGGTATGATCCTCCCTTCTAGCACCAGCACTACAGACCTTGCACTTCCACCCCGGCTCCTATCTGTGCACTACCAACCTGGCTTCTGGCACAAGAAATTTTCTTTCCCCAAACCGAACAGAACTCACAAACTTGCAATTTCCATAGATGTACCAAAGAACACACAAGTTCACAAGGTTTTAAGGTATTCTGTTAAGAGAGATTTGTTTGCTACCAGATGGGCTCAGTTAGTGTGGCAGTGCCAGCAGAGAGTGAGGAAAGAGCAGCCAGAGCCCCCTCTTCTGCATGCCTCTGTTCCCCAGTGAGGGCCATGACCTTGACAGTGCAGGGTGAGCCAGTAGCAGAGAAAGTCTCGCTCCCTCCCCCGGCACCCAGTGCATTTGGAGAGGATGGTCTGTAGTTGGCATGGAGAGAAGCAAACGGAGGTGGTGCTAAGCAACTCTACCAGAGATGTTGATGGGCACAATGTCAGAGTGCGTGGAGCAAGGTTGAAGCCACCGTTTCTCCTCTAGGAAGGGCAGAGGGAAGGGGCTATTCCAGGTAGCTTGCTTGTCGGCTGTGGTAGACAGGCTCAGGGAGGCCTCAGGGGCCCTCACGCCCTGGGTGGTAGTCTCATCCTCGCTCAGCTGCCGTTTTGTAGGCTGTTGGGAAAGAAGGTGATGGGAAGGGTGTGCTCCCGATGAGATGAGCCATGCCCATGGGATGGCTGTCTAGGCAGGGTGGTCGGAGGCTTTGTCTGGGAGGCAGGAAAGTGTGGACAGGCTGTCAGGCCAGACACCTGCTTGTGTACGGCCCATCTGGGCAAGGCCTCAGGGTAGCTCTGCTGGTAGGCAGAGGTGAGCAGCAGCTTCCGGTGGGTAACGTAAGCAGCTGGAAGACTCCTGTCAATAAGTGCAGAGAGAGCTCTGCATGCTGGCTCTCACAGGTGGGGGAAGAGGCAACTCACCATCAATACAAACTGCAGACGCCTGCCAGCCTGGGGCCTTGGGCTAGGGGTGGGCTCAGGGGCCTCATCAGCAGAGCGGAAGGTCTGCCCCAGGAGTCTGGCCTCCAAGTACTGTTCCTCATATTCTTCTGAAAAATAGCACAGTGGATACACACTCGAGGGGGCCACAGTCAAGCCCTGGGCTGGGAAGGGACCATAAGAGCTGGGTCTCCTGCTCTAGCTGCCGGGCTTGACTTGCATGGTTTCTCTAGGATATTTCCCGGCTTCTGAGCCTCTGGATTCAGAATTGGAAAGAAAGCCTACGTCCCAGGACTACGAACGCAGAGGAGAAAAGAGAGTCGATGAATTCGAGTTGTGCCAGTTCTGAGACCAAGCCTGTGTCTTGATGGCTCCCACCTTCGGTGCTCAACCTGGAGGAGAGGTCCAGGAGGCAGACACCTCTTGCTAGTTTATGCTGCGGGGTCCCCTCCCTGAAACCCTGCACTTCTTCAGGTTTTCTGCAGCCCTACCAGGGAAAGGACCTGTGTGAAGCACGAAGACATGTGCATTGGCAAGTCCAATGCGGAGTGCTCCCTTGGATGTCAAGAACTCTTATTTGAGCCTCTGAGGGCCTAGTTCCCTGCATCCTGGTCCCACTGTGGGCGGTGCAAGGCCGAGGGGGACTCAGTTGAAGCAGAGGGAAGGCAGAGGTAGTAGCATAGAAGGCAGGAGGAGTGGAGGGGCATTGTCAGCGAGTACAAAGGACACACAGACTTGGATGGCTCCATTTAAGTGATGAATTCGATGAGTAAAGGAGGAACGTGAGAGCAAAGAACCAACAGGTGGGGCTCTATGCACATTTGAACAGACTTCAAGACTCCTGGAAGCTCGGACTCAGGAGGGGCTTCAAAAGTTCGCTGGTCCAACACCCCATTGTGGGCTCAGAGTTCTTCCTCAGCAGCCCTTCTAGCTGCTTCTTCAGCCTCCACATGGTCCTGCAGAGAAGGAAGGGCAGCCTCCCTCCCAAGGCAGCTCATTCCATCCACGAACGATCGGGGCTTTCAGGCGTGTCAGGAAAGCTCTTCCTATCTTGAGGTGGAATCTGCCTCCCGCTACATTTCTGCCCACCTGTCCTAATTCTGCCCATGGTGGCAACATAAAGCACATGGACTCTTTTTCTGCATGATAGCTCCTCTCTTATCTGAACACAGGGCTCACGGTGTCCCCTGGAATCTTGCTTCTCTAAGGTCGCCGCTGCCCTGTCAGGGAGGCGAGGGTTTGGGCTGTAGTCCAGTTGAGTGGCCCAGCTGTTGTTTTCTAGTCCCCCTACAAGTTAACCCTTGTCGGCGTGGATAAGTGAGAGCCGGTAAGGCTTCTTTTCACACTTAACGTTCACTCAACAAATGTCTACTGAGCCCCTCCCGGGGATCCGGCTGTGCCAGGTGCTTCTGGAAAGGCAAGGGTACGAAGAGATGTCATTCTTTATGTGGAGACGCTCAGTCTGGTCAGGTGGACAAAGTCTACACCCAGGACCAGTAGGTGAATGAATAAATGAAGGGACAAATGAGAGAAAAAGCAGCTCAGAACTATCTAAGTCCTCCTGAGCTGGATGGCATAAGGTGGCTGACACGAGTGCTCATGCGGGGACGGATGCAAAGTGCAGAGCTAGTGTTAAAGGAGTTTTTAGGTGAGGCAACTTTGAAGAAAGTATGAGGATTGGGGGTTGGGAGAGCGAGGAAGGGCTTCTAAGCTTTGAAAAAGGCCCAAGTGGGACAGCGAGTGCCTGGCATAGGTACAGAGCTTGCGACTACTGCTGAGGTTTTATTTGTATTATTTCATGGAGACAGAACTTCCCTACAGTAAGGTATGCAAATCCTAAATGCACAGCTGGCTGAATTTTGACATACCTATGTCCCTTGTAACCTCCACCCAGAGACTGTAACACCCCAGTAGCCTCTTGCACAGCACTGAGGCTTAATCTTTTTGCCACTCACGTTGGCTAAATCCTTCCGATCAACGAGTATGGTTTTCACATTGCAAGGTTTTATCAGGGACCGAACCATCTTTTCTTTTATGGTAACTTTACTATCGTGCCCAGCCTCGCCCTGCGTTCCACAGGACACTACTGGGAGGTGACAGTGCATCTTATCCGGGTCTCCTCAGCTGCAAGATACTCTTGCCAAGCAGGTTACATACCATTTTTACTTCTCACAAAACTTTGCTATGTGGGGAGCTCGAATCTGATTTGAAAGATTGATCTGAAGCTCAGGGAGGTTGGGTAATCTGCACAGTGTCCCACAGCTGGTTAGGCGTGGGATTTAAGTGAGATTCTAGGTCTGTCTGATTCCGAAGTCTGGGTTTTCTCACTCTGCCTGGTGCATGCAATCTGACTGCTCTGGCACTGCAACTGGGCTCTTTTTCCGGGTCGTGTGGACCCAGCTTGGTGGAGAGGGTGCTCATCTGTATACTCCAAGATGCCGGGCTGGGATTTAGGGGACGAGGAGAGCTCTGGGTGCTGTGTATTGGGCTTCCTTTGATGAGGCAGTAGCTAGCTACCTAGGAGCCACACGAGCAAGGTTAAGACAAGAGCAGAACGAGTGAAGCCCTGAGGGGGAGACCCTGCAGATGCCTCCATTGTCTTCGGGTGCAAGGATTCCAAAGGCATGGGTGATGTGGCAAGAGATGGTCTAGAAGGTTTGTGAGCCCACGCAGGGGGAGTCTCTCACCCAGCTCTCCTGGCAAATGGCTTGACCATTGCCCTGCTTCTGCCTCTGTCTCGCCCCCCACCCCCCATGGACTTCTGAACTGCAAAATAAAAGGGCTAGGGTGAGGTGCGGGGGTGGGTGGGTGCGAGTAAACAGCCGTAGAAATCGAGCCCTCTAGAATCGTTAGTTTGGAAGGTAAAGATATGGGAAATGTGCGTTTCGTTTTTCGGTGGGTTTAAACTGTTCTCTCTTTTTCTCTCGCTGGTCCCTGTCCTCTTTCTTCTTCGCCTCCCTCCAGCCGTTGCGCATCTCGCCTGTGGGCTCCGGCCGCAGCCCCCCTCCCTCTCAGTACCTTGCAACAGGCTCTGGAGATTGAGCTGCGCCTCTCGAAGCAGCTCCTCTACACTCGGGGGCCTGCCCGAGGAGAGGAACACGTTCACTGGCTGTCGCCATGACGACCTCGAGTGGGCAGTCGCTGTCGCATTTTCCCGACCCGAGTTAGCTGCAGCTAGGGAAGGAGAGAGTCAGTGAGAGGCGCAGCCGGGGGGTGGGGGTGGGGGGTGGGGGTGGCGGCGCGCGGTGGCCAGTGGGCGCTCGCGGTTCCCCAAGACCCGCCCTTGTCGGGGGTGGGGGGGGGGGCGGAGCGAGGCTGTGCTTAAAAGGCCGGGACTCGCCAGCCGCAAGATTTTTCCTCGACAGATCCTGCCGCAGTCCACTCCCTCCTGCCCGGCCGGCCTCTGCCCGCCCCGCCGCCGCCTGCCGCCCGCGTCCTCCGCCTGGCGCCTCCCGGCTCCCGCCGCCACCTGCCCTCTCCGATCCCCAGGACGAGGTAAAGCGCCCCGGGCCGAGCCGCTGGGCTCTCCGCCTGGAGCGCCCGCCCTCCGTGCTCGCCCCAGTGGGTGTGGCTCGCCCTCTCCCGCGCCCCGCCGCGGCACTTCGGTCCCCTCCCCCCGCGCCCCGCCGCCGCATTTCAGCCTCCTCTCGCGGCCTCCAGCTCCCTACCCCTACCCTCGCCCCCGCCCTCAGACTCAGGGCCCCGGAGCTAATCCTAATGTCCGAGGCCGCAGGAAATCTAAACAGCCTGCGCATGGCGAACGTGGCCCTGCGAGAAGAATTAAATGCCCTTCGCGGGGAGAACGCCAATTTGGGCCTTCAGCTCGGAAGAGCCCTAGCCGAGGTCAATTCCTTGCGGGGCAACGTGTCGAGCTACATCCGCTGGCCAGTGCCGGTGGTGCCGGTCCTTGCCGAGGAGAACTTTGAGTTCCCGCTGAGCGAGATCGACGCAGTTCCCGAGGGAGAGCTGCCTTTCTTGTGCTGGCCTCCCCCTCGAGCGGAGCCCGAGTACGCCTCGGACGAACTGCTGATTAGCGTGATCCAGGATTGCGGTACCTCCGACGCGCCCGTCGACCCTCCCCCGCTGCCCATCCCGCCCCCGCCGGCGCTGCCCCCGCCCCCATCGAAGGAGCAGCCGGCGCAGCCGCCTCTGCCGCCGCTGGAGCGGCCTGAGTTAGAGCCCTTCTCCGGCGACCCGGTCTACCTGGCTGAATTCCTGATGCGGCTAGAGACCTTCATAGCTGACCACGAGGATCATTTCCCGGGGGGCGCTGAGCGGGTGGCCTTTCTGATCTCCTTTTTCACTGGTGAAGCCAAGGACTGGGCCATCTCAGTCACCCGGGAAGGAAGCCCCCTGCGTGCCAACTTCCCACGCTTCCTGGATGAGATCCGTAAGGAATTCTGTGGGCCCATCCCCCCAAGTGTGGCTAAAAAGGCCATCCGCAAGCTCAAGCAGGGGAATTGTACCCTAGGCAGCTATGCGGATGCTTTTCAGTTCCTGGCCCAATTCTTGTCTTGGGACGACTGCCGCCTTCAAAACCAATTCCTTAAGGGCCTGTCAGAATTCTTCCGCAAGGAGCTCTTGTGGTCAACCGAAATGGCCGACCTGGATGAGCTGATTCTCGAATGCGTGGAGATAGAAAGAAAAGTGCGTGTCCCCAAGCCGATCCCTCTCCCCGGGGTTCGCAACATCTTCTTCCCTTTTGCCAAGGACCCTAACATCGACGACAGTGATGAAGAGTGCTACAGTGACGAGGATGAAGAAGCACGCAGGCGCAGGCTCTACGACAGGGACCAGCGAAGGCGCATGAGAGGTATTCCTCAGGAGACGGAGGAGGAGAGGAGGAAGAAGGAGGAAGAGATGAGGAAGAAGCAGCTGGAGGAGATGAAGCAGAAACAGGAAGTGGAGGAGGAGGACGATGAGGACGAGGAGGTGGACGTGGGTGTGGAGGTGAACATCTTCAAGACGAGCGGGGATGAAGACAAGGGTGGCGAGGCAGGTGCGCATGGCAGCCAGGAGGCAGAGCAGGAGGCAGAGCAGGAGCCAGAACAAGAGCAAGAGTCAGAGGATGAGACCCAAGATGACGACCTCGACGAGCTGATGGAGATGGAGCCAACCGTTGCCCACGCTTCATCCCAGACTACTGGCTACTATCATGAAAATTTCCTGGATGCATCGCCCCCCATCATACAGCCTAGCAGGCGGAGGAACCAGAACCGAGTCCCGCTTCTGGAGGGCCTGCCGGGCACTAATTCCCCGTTCTACAGCTCGCCGCCGCTGATTCGCCGCGCAGGTCGTTTGGGGCAACGCCAGATCCGAAGACGTCCCCCGGTGCTGTTCCGCCTCACTCCGCGACAGGGGGGCCACCGGGCTGCACGTGGCCGAATTCGAGTGTGAGCGCTGGGGCGACCTCGCCACGCGGAACACACCCTTCTACTGCGTCCCCTGCCCCTGCTATCGCTGCCACACCTGCCCCATGTGCTGACCAGTGCTTTAGGGAGTTCCAGACCTGCAGAGCCCGAAGAAGACTAGAACGCCAGATCGCCTTGCAGCCCTGACCAGTGAGTGCCACGCATCCAACCGAGGCCGCCTGGGAAAGAAGGGGTCAGCAGTCGCTGTCCCCTTGGCTTGCGCTCTGCTCGGGCTTGCCACAAGCTAGAGAGCAGGTTTCTGGGCCTGTTCCCATAAAAGAACTAACTGGTCACCCTCTTGTATTTTACCCTCTAGTTGTTCCTAACTCTCCCCTCTCCTGTGTTCCTTCACCCTGCGTTCTACGGTTTTATCCTCTGACTGGATCACCAGGACTTCACCCAATGCCTCACAGATCTGCCCCTGCACCGATGAGCAAAAGGACAGGCTGCCCTGAACTCCTAAAGGCACTGTGGCCGCTTACTAGATCTAATCAACAGAGAGCAGGATGGTATCGGGAGATGTACCTAGAAACCGACACTTGCTTCAAGCCACACCTCCAACGGAAGGGCCCTGAAGAGAAGCCTACATCTAGCCCAGTGTGCACGCTCAAAGCCACACCTCAGATGGACAACTTGGCTGAGATTTGTTCTTGACTGACTGAGCAAGCTTGTTCCTCCTCCACACAGACTACTGTATCCGGGCCCTTGGACCAGCTTGCCAAGTCTGGGACCCTCTCCTCTTACCACACTGCCTTCCTGGGCATCCCCAGCCGACAGACCCCGATGTTCTAGGCTCTATCCCTTTTCTCGGCATTGCCTGAGAGGTGAAGGAGGGGGAGGAGGAGGAGGAGGAGGAAGCAGCAGCAACAAGTCAGTTTGATGTTGTAAGGAGTGACTCTTTCCTCAGGGACGGCGGTCTCCTTCCCCGGCCAGGCCTTGGACTGCATCCCCAGCCGAAGGTCTTTGCAGGAGACTTGCCTTCCTTGAGGTTTCAGAGGAGGCCTAATTGGCCTTTTTTTTTTTTTTTTTTTTCCTGGACTGCCAAAGAGAAAGAGGGCCCAAGGCCTGCTCTTTAACTTCGACCTAAAGGATTCCTTAGAGGAAGGTTCTGTCTACAGAGACTGCATCCACTGCAGCCTTAAGCTGGAACATCCTCATGTTTCTCACCTGGGGGCCAGCCGTGGCCTCGTGCTGGGCTGCCAATGAGGCTTCAGCGGGTGACTGCCTCCTAGTAACCCCTGGGACTTCTGGGTACCAACCTAGATGCCCTCATAAAGGGTCCTGCTGCTTGTCTTGGGTCCAAAAGATACTGCTTCTGCAGTGAAAAAATACATACTATGTCACTCTGGCCACAGAATGCCAGCCAGACCCACTGCTGGCCTGACTGCCCTTGACACTGAGCCTCCTGCCCAGTGCCTGGCAGCTGGGCACAGGCAGCCACAGTGTCGGCGGCCAGAGGGAAGAAAACATAGTGAACTCTGCCTCTGTTCCTCACCGCAGTCTGACAGATAACCTCAGTCCAGCCTTAGGATTTTGAGTCTGGAGGCAAGAGCAAGGAGCTGGAGGAAGAGGAGTCACAAAGAAACCCAGTCCTCCGGCTGGTTTCTGGTGAGGTCTCTATTCATCACTGGGAGGTAAGCAGCCCTTTTGTTTATAACACACTTAGCCTTGGGGATCAGAGCCGGGTTCCCGGAACCTGTTGCTACCTCTTAGAAAGGTTCCCGCCTTCTCCGAGGAGAAAAATAATAGATAATCATTGTGGAAAATAAAGAAAGCTTTGAGGACAAACACCCGCAAACATTCAGGACCTGACTATATGGATGCAAATACTATTAACACTTTGTTGCCTTTCTTTCTAGCATGTTCTGACTCTGTCTCTTCAAAGCTGAGATCATCCTGTAAGCTCTTGATCAGCAAGATTTAAAATGGCTGCCACCGATGCAGTCATGCATACTGAATAATTTATTTAAGCATTCTCCCGATTTGTTGGACCTTTCAGTTGCCTGTTTTTCTCCATTCCCACCAGTACGGGAGTCCACAACCTTGTAAAGAAAATGTTGTCTGTTTTTCAGCTATTTTCCTCAGGAGAGAGCTTCAGAAGGGGAACTGCTATTCTTCTAGGCTGTGGACCCTGTTTGCTGATGGTCGACACGCTGGCCCTGCTGTCCATGTCCCTGCGTGAGAAGTGCAAAGGACAGGCGCCTTGCACCCCAACCTCCAGGGACCCCTCAGCACAGGCCCTGCCTGTTCCCATGGTGCTTCTCACCCTGAGCCCTTGTGGCCTCAGCCAGGAAAACAGCGGATGAACAGTGAGCTGGTTTCTGGCCCTCTGGTGGCAGGGGGGCTTGGGCTTCCCTTTGACCCTCTTTCCTGCCCCCCTTTTCCCAGATCTTCAATATTTGTTGTGATGTAACAGCCACAAGAGCTGTAAGAGGAACTATGGGCTTTGGGTGCTTTCTTGGGTTGAAAGAGGGGTGGGGGGTGGGGAAATGCATGCGGGGGGGGGTGGGTGGGTATGAAGGCAGCCCAAGGATTCCCAGAGACTCGGGAGGAACCCGTTTGAAACAAATGTGTTATTGTTACTGTGTTATTGTTGCATTACTGTGTTGTGAAGATAAGAAATCGTTCTGTATGCTAAAGCTTTCTCCTCAATAAAAATATAAAGGGTGT